CCCCAAAACCCCAAAACCCCAAAACCCCTTAAATATAACAAATATTGAAATAATGGAACATATGAACTCTCTTCAGGAGGAAGAGAAGAAATCAGAACTTGAGCTTCCTCAGAACTTATCAAATGAAGAAATTAATGATCCTGCTCATGCTCCCCAACTTGCTACAACCGTTATAGTAGAAACCCCAAAAGAGCCATCGCCGTTGACGAGGTACATTCTAGGCTACTTTATATTTTCTGGTATTTCCTTTTGGATAACTCTGATCATCCTTATGGTTCCTGCAGTAGATACTCAATGGAATTGGTACAAAGATGTGTATGAGAGGAGGAATTACTCATCAACACATTTCAGTTTTGCTAAACTGCTGTTTTGGATGGCTCTTTGTATAATTGGGTTCACATACATTCCTTTAATCACTTTAAAATAATAAAGAGAGAAGGAACCCCTTTGTAGGCAGAAATGGGAACTATAGGGACATAATTATGCTAGTCTGTATCTCACCAATAGCCTACTTCTGTGCTCCAATAATCTTTATCAGAGACAGATTTGACATGGAAAAAGACTGAAATGAGGCTCAGTATTTAGTCGAAGGAAAAAGGCTTCATGAAGAGACTGTAAACAACGCTTTCACTTTTGATTGGGGAGACCGTTTCGCAGAACTCCCTGGAAGTATATTCAAGTCCTTAGACGGAGAATATCATTGACATGCCTATGATGTGTGGGAAGTTCTATGGTACAACTATTTTATCGTCATTTTCTACTTCATTGGTCTCAACTATACTCATCTGGGTAAGATTCCAGTGCCTCACCTTTCACTAACGGCTGAGAAGATCAAGAAATGGGGATGTCTTCAGTATTCTTTTATTTCTATTGTTCTTATTTGCATCGTTACACTAATCGTTAGTCTCTTTACTATGTATTACTATGCTGAAATCTTGTTGCTATATAGCCTCGTCCTGATTGGTTTTATTCTGCTTTTAATAATAGCTGCATTCATCTTCTCAAAAACTCATCATTTTCATTTTCATCACTACACTTGGGGTTTTATGTTGATGGTTCTCTGAGGATACCAGCACATATATGTCTCCATACTGGGAGCCCTAACTGCTGGAATAACTATCGAAGGAATATCGAGATGGGGCTTTGATCCTTGGTGGAAAAAGAAGAATAAGACCTAGCCAGCCTAATTTACGAATTAATATCTTTTAATTCTTAATTATACAAAGTAAATTTTTATTCTCTTTGGTAGGACTTTGCTGAATTTTTCAATAATTTTAGCCAAATCAGGGGTTTTGGGGTTTTGGGGTTTTGGGGTTTTGGGG